TATATAAACACATGCACACCCACAACCACAATAATAGTAACAACACAATAATATAATGACACTCACAATGATACAGCTACCTACAGTGACACATCAACACATCCACATTGACATAGTGACAATAATTGTTACTGTCACAATAGAACATATATTTTCATAATTACATTAGAAATTAATATCACACTAACACGTATTTTTATAGTGATAGTGATTGTTATTGTCACAATAGAACATATTTTTCGTAGTCACATTAGAAATTAATGTCACACTAACACATTTTTATAGTGACAATGGTTGTTCTTGTCTTAATAAAACATATTTTCACAATAACACTACATAGCAATGTTTTATATAGGGTTTTTTGAGCTGGGTATATTTTTTTAGACTTATTTGAGAAGTGTGGATAAATATTTTACTCTATTAAATTCAATTTTAATAAAACATCTTGTGATTAGGTACAAAATTCAAATAACATTTGAATTTTTTTACTTATTTATCCTTCCTTAAGAGCATCTCTAACCATGACTCAAATTTTCACTCAAATTTAAGTTAGTATTGGAGTAAAAAACTTGATTTGATACAAAGGGCTCTAATGGACAAACTCAAATTTAAAGAAGGAAAAACTTAAATTTAAATGAGGGCAAACCCAAAATTAAATGAGAGTAACAATGACCATTGGATTTTAAAAAGATGGTGAAATCTCACCATTAAACATTTGGGTAAGGATTTGAGTCTCTTTTGATTTGGTATAAGTTTGAGTAAGGGTTGAAGCAAGGTTTTTAGATTTTTTTACTAAAATTTAAATTTGAGTCTAAATTTGAGTCCTGGTTGGAGATGCCATAAATTATGCATAATTTTTATTCTCTTCATCTCTCTCTCCCCCTATTTTCTGTCCATCTGTCTCCATTACTCTCCCACTATATTTTCCTATTTTCTCTTCATCTCTCTCTTCGTTACTCTCCCTATCTCTCCCCTATTTTCTACCACTATTACTCACTCTCCTTATTTTTTTCTCTCTTTTTATATTAATGTTATAACAACACAATTACACTAATCAGTTACACCAAACAATTATAATTGTCTTATAATACACCAAACAGTTACTCATACGTTCTAATAAACTAAACAGTTACACTAAACAATTACATAAAATTATGACACCAACTCAATTTGCCATTCAATCATATACAAAACCAAAGAGTTGCATCATTTAATAATCACGATATAGTTACACCAATTATATACACCAAATTTGGTATAATGATAAAATCTTTTGTATAATGATAAACACAATTTAGTATATAATTGGTGTAACCATGTCATGATATTAAATAGTGTAACTATATGATTTATGTAAACAACTGAATGATAAATTGGGTTGGTGTTATTATTTCATGTAACTGTTTGATTTTATTATAACACATGAATAACTTTTTGATGTATTATATGGTAATTATAACTAATTTGTGTAACTGTGTTGTTGTAACGATGATGTAAGGATGCAGAGAGAATAAGGAGAGAAATAAAAACAATAAAAAAAAATAAGGGGAGGGAGAGTAAGAAAGAGAAAACATAAAGGAAAAAGATGAAAAAATTAAATTACATCTTTACATATTTGAAAAATAAATAAATTATCAATGTGAGAGAGATAGAAAGAGAGAAAATAAGGAAGAGAGAGTGAGAGTAATGGAGAGAGAGAGAGAGAGTAATTGAGTAATAAATGGTATTTTAGTCTTTTTTTCAAAAAAAAAAATGCATATAGAGCTAAATAAGTTTCTTTAATGTAGTTTAACTCAATTGAATCCAAATTTTTATACCGACTTTCAAATTTCCCTTTTATATATAGCAATTTTCTGCTAGAATGTATATTTACATCTACATACACACATAACAACATTGTATATATATATATGAGGATTTTAATATGAAGAGAGAGGTATAGAGGTCTGTGGGTGAGAGAATGTAAGAATGAGGGAGAGATAAATTATTTAGGATATATGAGAGAGAGAGAGAGAGATTACGTGAGTTTTTTGGGATATGAATGACGATTTTTATTTATTTGAGGTTTTTTATTGTCTTTTCTCATATTCTTACTCTTTATGACCCAAAATATACGCACATGAACTAATTGCCCAAAAAGATTAGTGAAAATTGGAGCCGAGTCCTCCTGGATGGACTTATAATGACTTGAGTCTGTCAAAGTAATTTATTTGGTGATAAGTCCGCTTTTTATCTTACTAGTAAATACTTAAGTCCACTATTTTTTTAAATCCCAAAAATATCTTTAACAATGTTATTCTATTCAATTATGGAAACCTTAAAGACTTTGAAAGTAGTTTTAAATTAATTTCTTAAATTAAAAATTATTATCCCTTAATTCACTCCTAAATTGAAATTGAAATTTATATTCTTTCTCTTTCTCTTTCTCTTTCTCTTTCTCTCGTTAGAAGAAGATCATCACTCCAGTACAACAAATTGTTCTCCTTAGATATCATTTCTTCCACAATAGCATCAAAATCAGTAGTCTTGGAACATCATTTACAACTACCATATCTTTTACTATGTTCTGGTCATCATGAACTTCTAAGTTGTTGGGTTTTGAAAAAAAAAAAGTTAAAAAACTTGCTCAATGTGTTATTAGTTTGATTCTCGATTTTTTTTTTATTTTTTTGATAAATTATCCCCAAATTTTTTCAATGTTTCATGTTACTACATTTTTTGTTGACCCTGTTACTATTTTTTCTAATTGACCATCTTATTATTTTTTATTGAGTATGTTATTATTTTTTCAATGTTACTTTTTTGGAAGCTGAAGAATTAAAGACTTCTTTCTCTGATTATGAGTTTAAATGCTACCATTTTTATTTTCAATTTTGTTTAATGTTGTATACTGCTATTTTTTTTATTGAGCATGTTACTTTTTTTGTTAAGTATGTTACTGTTTTTGTTAAACATGTTATTATTGTAATTTTTTTAAAACTATTAATATTTAATGTTACTATTTTTTATGTTTAAATGTTACTATTTTTTTTGTATTTAAATGGTATTATTTTTTTTGTCTAATCAATAACTTTTTTTTGTATTTAAAAGTTATTATTTTTTATTTTTAATGTTGTATATATATAAGAAATATATAGTCCTAACCTATATATGAATATAGATAGATATGAGAGAAAAAAAATATTAATGTTAGTCAAACTCGTAAAATTTAAGAGTTTTTAATTTTTAATTTTTAATTTTAATTTTACTTTACTTATAAAGAGAATGAATAGTTTGGTAAAATTTATAAAATATAAATTTTATAACAAATAAATTTTCTTGACGAAGATAAGTTCAAAAAATCCAAATAGAGAGACCGGCGTTCAAATTTTCAAAAAGATTGCCACGTAAGACCTGCCTCCAATTATCCCATATAGACCAGCTCGGCCCAAATTAGAGGCCCATTATAAAGAACTTACAAACCCAGATCGGCCCAAATTACAGGCCCTCATGATTGAACCCAAGCAGCTAATAGATGTGCCTGTAGGTCTGGTTAAGACTATGACGTGGCATGATGGGATTGAATGACACAGTACAACGCAGTGTTTTAAAACCCGATCCGGTCCAACGGGTTGACCCGGTGACCTGGTGAACCGGTTCCCTAACCGGGCCGATTTTGTAATTAGACCGTTTGAGCAAAGAACCCGAAATAAAATCGATGAACGTGTCAAAAAATTGGTGAACCGGTCAAAAAATTGGTGAACCGGTGAAAATCGGACCGAGTTTACAAAACCGGCCGATTTTGTTCCTTTAGTATAAATATATTTTTTTTTTTACATTTTTTTGTCTTTTTCTTTTCCCCTTCTGTTTTGTCCTAAATCCTAAATTATTCGTTCAGTGTTTGTTAACTCAAAAATTAAGTGAATACAATTAAGTGATTCAAGTTTAAGGGTGGAGGCTGGGCTGTTAATTGAATGCATTGGTTTATTAATTGAATGCAATTAAGTGATTCAGACTTGATAATTTTGTTTGATTTAATATATATTAAACATGTTATTTTTATAACTATTTTAATTTTTTAGTTTATTTATCATCATTAATAATTATTTTTTTTATTTTTTTATTATATCACCGGTTCGATCAGTGACCCAGTGATTAAACCAGAAATTCATTGACCCGATTCCTTCTCCAAATTAGTGTCGCGCCGAATTTTAAAACTATAGTACAACGTGAGGGCCTGCGCATGCTAGTGGGACCCCAGCAGGTCAAATTTAACGGTCCTTCCTTAGGAAAGGCAAAAACTAATCTAACGTTGATTGCACAATTACGAAAGAGGACACTTAAAAATTATATCTGTCATTCAACGCTATCAACTTAGTTTCATGTAACCTTACCCAAAAAACCTTAAGGTTCATGTAATAACAAGGATTAGTTATATTGATTACCCAGAGAGTTTACAGTTATTCTTACTTTGATCCCTATATTTTTCTTTAATTCATTCTATGACTTTTTTTTATAGTATCAATTGAGTTTAAACGTGTGCATGGAATTTTGTTGCAAATTTTTGACAACAATATTCACTAGATTGAATTTAATTTATATAAAAAAATTATTGATAATTAGTGATAGATAATATCAAAGAATGCTAGACTAACAAAAAAAAAAGATTAATAATAGAGACCAAATGATGTGAATATTTTTAATTTTACTTTTACAAATTTAAAATTTAAATTTATCCTATTGTAATAATATCATATCATTTACTTCTTATTTTTGGTCTTTTTTATTTTTATAAATCTAGCATTATTTTAGTTGGTTTTGTATGAAAAAATTAACAATATTGTATTGAATGATTGACGAGTTTGCAGGAGGTTGGAGGGGAAGTTGATTAGAAAAATAAAGTGTCAACGTTAATATCTAAAAAATCTTGGGCACGGAAGTATAATTAATCTAATCACAATGGAGTCAAAGACCGCTGAGTCACGCACGTCAATTCGCGAGTACGTGTCTTCGTTTTTGAAGGAGAGGTTTAACAGACAATGAGCTCCGAGAGAAAGATAGATGGCGCGAAGGAGAGGGAAAAACAGTTGCAAGAACTGAGGTAATAGCCAGTTCATTTTCCGAATCAGTCGACGGAAAAAACTTGAGACACAGGAGCGACGAAGTCCGTTGATCTAACTCTTCCGAAGATGACGCTGAAAAGCTCCAATTTTCCCATCAATTTCGAGCCGAAGAGGTAGTATGACTACAATTATTACTCTCTCTCTCTCTAGACACACAAGCACACAACAGTGCATACTATACATGCGCGTTTGGATATGGAGTAGTATGAGCTCTACACGCGTCTCTAAGGCCGATAATTTAGCTACCTAGTACTGTTCTTTGAGCAAAAGCTCACAGAATTCAGAAATTTCTGGGGAGTTTGTTGCGATTATTATTAGATTGATTGATTGAGCTCGTTCAATCAATAAGATTTTCAAAATACTATCGGATCTCGTGGATCAATTATCCACCTTATCATATTAGAACCAGATTGATTTTTTGGTGGTTGATTTTCTTCTTTGAAAAATTGGTTTTATTTGAAAATTGAGGTGTTTATGTTATACTTTGATTGTATGTGGTGAATTCAGACTGAATAGCATTAAAATTCAGCAATAGGATCAGTTTAACTAATGACTAGAATAGATCTCAGTTTTTGCTGTGAATTGAGAACATGAGGAATAGTGTTTCGAGTTTGGTTTGAGGCAAAACAGCGATATGGACAGTAGAATTGGAGTGGTCTGTGAAGTATGTTGTTATCCTTGTTGAGTAAGCGTTTATTGGACGTTGATTCCAGGTAAGATCATGGCAACTGTTTTTTGTTTCAATGTTATTTTTCGTATTGCAGCTTACACATATGTAGATATATTATATGTGAATTGTGAAGTTCAATAAAAAAATGTTACATGTGAATGTGATTATGATATTTTCTGTTTTTCCCCCGAGTACTAAAATCACTTTCATATAGAGTTGTAGACATAGGAATATGATAATCAAATTAGTTTATGGTGACAGGGATGCCTATGGATTTACTGTGAGACCTCAGCACCTTCAAAGATACAGAGAATATGCTGATATTTATAAGGTAATAATTACTACATTCGTTCTTTTTGGTTGTTATTAACCGTGTGCTATCCTCAATAGCATATGCATGATACCAAAATAACAATATAGAAACCAATTTAAGATTACCCAACTCTTTTAACTATTACGAGCACGTGGGCTTAGATTTGGATTGAATGAAGGATCATGGTGAAGCTAGGGAATCATAACATGTTAAGGAAAATATGATGCATTGCCAGTGCAGCTTAGTTTTGTGTTCATGGTTTTCAGGAAGAAGAAGTAGAAAGATTAGAAAAATGGAAGAGTTTTCTTGAACAGCACAGAGAGTCTGCTGAATTGCAATTGCCTGTGGAAAAAATCAGGGCATCGCATGCTGCAGTTACAGAGCAGAAAACAGAGTCTGTTTCAGTGAGTGGAGAAGGGGATGATTCAAGTGGACCGAAGACTGGTTCCGACTGTCTTAAAGAAATTGATTTTGGAATCGAGGCGCCAGTGTCAGTACAACCAACAACCAGTAGGGTGCAGACATGGACTCAAATTAGACCATNGAAAAAATCAGGGCATCGCATGCTGCAGTTACAGAGCAGAAAACAGAGTCTGTTTCGGTGAGTGGAGAAGGGGATGATTCAAGTGGACCGAAGACTGGTTCCGACTGTCTTAAAGAAATTGATTTTGAAATCGAGGCGCCAGTGTCAGTACAACCAACAACCAGTAGGGTGCAGACATGGACTCAAATTAGACCATCCCTTAATGTAATTGAGAATTTGATGAGTTTTCGTGTCAAGAAGAGAAATAACATGAAGGATGAACAAGTGACCCTGAATCAGAATCATCTTCCTTCAATTGAAGAGGTTAGACCATCAAGAGGAGAATCTCAAGAAGAGGTTGAGGAAGAATTCTATGATAACGAGATAGTAGATGATAGTGTCAATACCTCTTCAGAGGGAAGTGTCACATATGATGAAGTCTCTCCAGAGCCTGTCTTTCCTCGGAAAGAAGAACTGGAGTTCCTTGTTCGTGGGGGAGTGCCAAAGGATCTCAGGGGAGAGGTACAGAATAGCATATTCACTGAGTTTGTTTGTTCTTGTAAATTTTTGTGGTTTTTTATGGACTTTATGTCTACTTGAACTTTGCAGGTGTGGCAAGCCTTTGTCGGTGTAATGACACGTCGGGTAGAGGGATATTACCAAGGTTTGCTGGCTCCAGAAAGTGATGCTGGGGATAGGCAGGAGCATGATGAGTCACTATCAGACAATGATAGTAAGGACCTCAACAAACACAAATTTGATGTCCCTCAAAAGTGGAGAAAGCAGATTGAGAAGGTCATGAGATGCATGGCCCCTGGACTTTAGTGTTCAATCTTTTTCAATTCGTAGGTGCTACTTCTTGTGCTTTGCATGGCAATCGAGGTTTCTCGCTGAAATAAAGTCTTGTGTTTCACTTTTCAGGATTTGCCTCGAACGTTTCCAGGTCATCCTGCTCTGAATGAGGATGGGAGAAATTCCTTGAGGCGAATACTTTTAGCATACGGTCGACATAACCCCTCTGTTGGGTATTGCCAGGTACTTGGCATGTAAAGAACTCCTATGTTTTGGTTGTTTTATTTAGTTGTTCAAAGTCATCGCGGAGGCACCTTTATCACTCAAGGGTGTGATGTTGCTGCTGTTAATGTGAAGTCATTATTAAGAACTACAAAAATTTGTTTGTCTCTAATTTTACGTTGATGCCTCTGGCCATTACCTCTGAGAATACCCAGCGTAAAGAAAATTCCAGTTAGGTATTGCGGTCTTGTCAAAGTCACTTAACATTAACCAGGTGATGGGAGTAGTTGGAATTTATATTTGTATCTTAAATGTTTGAATGAAAAATCAAATTTCGTTTGGCCTTTTGAAACTTCTGAAATGGAATTGCTATTTCAATTTTTTGTCCAACATGCATTTGGTTAAATTTGATGTCAATGGGGTGCCCACCCTTGTTCTGGTTGATCAACATTCTGAAATAAATGATCCACCACTATCATGATTTCTTCTTACTTTTATTTTCTTCATTGGTATCAAAACTCATTCAGGCAATGAATTTTTTTGCTGGCCTGTTATTGCTGATGATGCCTGAGGAAAATGCCTTTTGGTGAGTTCAGAGCTTATCTACTACAAAAAAAATTCTCACAGTTGGTCAGATCAATTGAATCTGCTTTTCATGTGTTGTGTGTGTGTGTGCGCATTTATTAATAAGACAAACTAAGTTGACCTTAAGAACTAGCTTTATGTGAATCTCTCAGGACTTTGGTAGGTCTCATTGATGACTACTTTGATGGCTACTTCTCACAGGAAATGATAGAATCCCAGGTATCTCTTTCCATCGTCCTGGGATGTTTTTCCAGATTTAGTACAGTATGGTTATGTTCAGTTTGGTTTATGTGCACGGGAGACTTACTGGAATAATTTAATTGACTATTCAGGTGGATCAGCTTGTTTTTGAGGACTTGACACGGGAAAGATTTCCTAAACTGGGTTTGTCTTCTGCTAGTATATCAACCTACTCTTTAATAGTTGTTTTCATTCTCTGATGTCTTGCACATTCTTATTCCCCTAATATTTCTACTGCAGTCAATCATCTGGATTACTTAGGAGTGCAGGTGGCATGGATTTCTGGACCTTGGTTTCTTTCCATCTTCGTGAACATGCTTCCATGGGAAAGTGGTGAGGCTTTGGTTGTGTGAATTATGATTTACCAATTTAAGTCCAAACTGATTGTATCGACAATGTCCTTGTTAATGTTCTCCATTATTGCATTCTTGGATTGAATTTGGAATCTCTTTGTTATGAAGCATTTCCTTCTGATGGCTTCCTTTTACTTCAGTTCTTCGAGTTTGGGATGTGCTTCTATTTGAAGGAAATCGTGTGATGCTATTTCGAACTGCACTTGCTCTCTTGGAGTTATATGGTACTGGAGTTATTATTGTGCTTTTAATGTTTTGTACGAACCAATCACTCTCCTAGGCTACTTTCTAGGGACAAAATGATCACATTGAACTTCATGTAGGTCCTGCTGTAGTTACAACTAAGGATGCTGGGGATGCTATCACTTTGTTACAATCTCTTTCTGGTTCAACATTTGATAGCAGCCAGCTTGTTTTGACTGCTTGCATGGGTTTCTTGAATGTAACTGAGGACAGATTGCAAGAGCTGAGAGAAAAGCATAGGCAGGCAGTGATAGAAGCAGTTGAGGAACGATCAAAAGGTTGTCGAATTTCAAAAGATTCCAAAGGTCTTGCATCTAAGCTATATAGCTTCAAGCACGATCCTGGATCACTGGTGAAAGAAACAAATACAGAACAAGGATCAGATGATAAGCTAGTAGACAAATATTTAACCCATTTGGAGTCTCAATCTACTAATCTCGACGAATTACTTGGTGGTCTAACCATTGGTTCAGAAGTAGATTCTCTTCCAGATCTACAAGAACAGGTAGCTAGCTATTTTAACCTCGTACCATATTGGGATGTTTCCTTTGAAAGAAGAGGTGATTATTTGTGATTTGCAGATCTATAAAAAAAAATACACAACTATTTGCCTTCTTGACCTTGCGTGTCTTCTTACCTGTCTCTTTGCTTTCGTATCTTGTGTAGCCAACATACATGTGATGTTGTGTTCATGGTTTTTCATCTATTCAGTTTCATCTTCGGACTTGTTTCAGATATTGATAACTCCTTATTTGTCATGACCTTTATTCATGCATGGGGAGTATTTTAATTGTTGTTTGTGGCTTTAGAACTTTCACACCAAGGACTGAATATATATTATATATGCCCCACAACAGGAGTCCGTAATTTGAACTTCTTATTTTTCTATTAGCTCCTTTCTTCTATGGTTTGGAATTTCTTTGTCACCAAGCTAAATTGTCACTTCTTAATGTCTTGCCTACTTCAGTGTGCTATAACAACTTTGGCAGTTGGTGGATGCTTGAAAATAGTAAATAGTTTGATAAAATCACCAGTGAACCTTGATGGAGTCACTTTCGTTGGATAATTTTTAAATTATGTAAGTCCATATATTGGAAGCGTCGTTACGCTATAATTAATCTTCTTAGAAAGTAGTGCATTGATATTGCAGGTTACATTGTTTGAAGCATATGATTTTTTGCTCCTTTTGTGTGCCTTTATATGCATCTCCTCTAATTTGGTAGTTGCCTTTTATTGCTATGATTAAAATTCCAAATTACTCTGGAATATGCAATAATAATCCTCACTGCAACTCAATTCATTTTGTGGCTAGTATGACTAAATTTCGATTTTCCATGATTATGAAATTTTTTAATGGTAAAGGCATGTTGTTTGCATTGGCTGACAAATATAGACAACTTACTAGGAAACTTTTTTTCTCCGTTTTAATCATTAACAGAATATGTGCAGGTGGTTTGGTTGAAGGTTGAGTTGTGCAAATTGCTGGAAGAGAAGAGATCAGCTACACTTAGGTAATCACCGTTACATGTATTTGAGCATGTCCCCAAATTGTTGTTACAAGTGATTAGGCTCTTTTTACGAAGCTAAAGATGAAGACCAAATGTTTTTAACTTGTGAGTTCGATAAGGATATATGAATAAACTGTTAGTTTAGTCTAGGAGCCCTGCCAATTGCATTTGGAAGCTGCCACGTTTGCTTAATTAGCTTGTTTGACTGTATTTGTCATCTATGTTGNAATAAACTGTTAGTTTAGTCTAGGAGCCCTGCCAATTGCATTTGGAAGCTGCCACGATTGATTAATTAGCTTGTTTGACTGTATTTGTCATCTATGTCGACATTTATACTGTTCAATGAAGTACTAATGCTTCCTTTGCTAGGGTTGTTGTTTTTAGTCCTTTTTTATGACTTTGCTATCTCTCATAGTAACACAGTCATGTTCAAAGATCAAAATTTCATTTTGGTGCATGGTTTTGGTCACATANCTAATGCTTCCTTTGCTAGGGTTGTTGTTTTTAGTCCTTTTTTATGACTTTGCTATATCTCATAGTAACACAGTCATGTTCAAAGATCAAAATTTCATTTTGGTGAATGGTTTTGGTCACAAAGAACACGGAAAAGTTTCAGAAATATTCGAAAAGGTTTTGAAAACAGATAAAAAATATGGTAATTTACTTCTAATATTTTTCAAAACATTAGTCGAAATATACCAAAACATCTTGCAACACCTCGAAACATTCTAAAACATTAGCCGAAACATACCAAAACATCTCAAAACAACTCGATATATTTTGAAACAACTTGAAATATTGATTTTTTGATTCGATCACTCATTCGCTTCGGTCTTCTTGAAAGCGGAAATATTTCGGCCATTTCAAAACCAAAATTTGATCCTTGGTCATGTGTATCTTTTTGCTATTGCCCTATTTTATTTTTCATTAACATATACATGTGTGCGAATAGAATTGTTGTTGTTCTATGGTGGCAATGGATTTGAAATAGATAACAAGCTTATTTGTCATAAAAATAATTGAAAAATAAAATGCATCTAGAACGGCTATTGTTTTGGCATGACTGATCAAATTTGATAATATGCCTCATGATAGCAGTAGTTGGACCTATAAGAATGGTATTTCTCTTTTCCAGAGCTGAGGAGTTGGAGACTGCACTTATGGAGATGGTCAAGCAAGATAATCGACGGCAATTGAGTGCAAGGGTATATCTAGAATGAATGCAGTTTGACAACTATATTCTGTTGCATCAACTCATCATATCCTATCAAATGAATATTTACTTGCATGTGATGTGAGATGGTTCTTCGGCTTTATGTCTCTCTTTCTCACTCAAAGAATCACCACCTGTTTAAAACTCTCCTTCTGCAGCACTATTTTTGTAGACTTAACTGCAATACGTTTGTTGATTGTCCAAAAAATTATTCTTATTAGTCCATGCTTTGATATATGTACGCGCACATCACTAAAACCTTATGTTTCAGAAACCAACACTGAAAAATTGTTATGCCTCTAATGTGTGATTATGGTTTTTAGAACTTCGTATATTTGTTTGTATGAATATTTTTATTCTGATGGGCTGCCCTTTTTTGATTTAGTCTCTATGCATTCTGGCCGGAACCCAGTTTGATTACATTCAACTTATGAGAGTTTTTATATTCTTCAGATTGAGCAGTTGGAGCAAGAGGTATCTGAGCTACGGCAAGCCCTTGCTGATAAAAAAGAACAGGAAAATGCGATGCTTCAGGTTTTATTTTCCATGTGTTTTTCTTAACAGCTATGTTGAGAAAGATGATCTGTGCTCTCCGCTTTGTTACAAGTCCTACCATAGTTAATTGTTACATGCATCCGTTACAGGTTCTGATGCGGGTTGAGCAAGAACAAAAGGTAACTGAAGATGCTCGGATTTTTGCGGAGCAAGATTCAGCTGCTCAGAGATATGCAGTGCATGTCCTTCAGGTTCTTCCTAATTCCTGTTTACATTGCTCAAAGTGAGATTAGGGTGACACTTTACTTCAATGTTGATCCCTTGAAACTAAAATCCACCAACATTTCCTTGCATATGAGGTGAAGTTACCCCTATAAAAAATTGGAGGAAATTACTACTCTGAGTTGGGCACATACCTTTTTTCTTGGGTTGGGGTGGAACGGAAGATCCCAGCAGNCTTTCTCACTCAAAGAATCACCACCTGTTTAAAACTCTCCTTCTGCAGCACTATTTGTAGACTTAACTGCAATACATTTGTTGATTGTCCAAAAAATTATTCTTATTAGTCCATGCTTTGATATATGTACGCGCACATCACTAAAACCTTATGTTTCAGAAACCAACACTGAAAAATTGTTATGCCTCTAATGTGTGATTATGGTTTTTAGAACTTCGTATATTTGTTTGTATGAATATTTTTATTCTGATGGGCTGCCCTTTTTTGATTTAGTCTCTATGCATTCTGGCCGGAACCCAGTTTGATTACATTCAACTTATGAGAGTTTTTATATTCTTCAGATTGAGCAGTTGGAGCAAGAGGTATCTGAGCTACGGCAAGCCCTTGCTGATAAAAAAGAACAGGAAAATGCGATGCTTCAGGTTTTATTTTCCATGTGTTTTTCTTAACAGCTATGTTGAGAAAGATGATCTGTGCTCTCCGCTTTGTTACAAGTCCTACCATATTTAATTGTTACATGCATCCGTTACAGGTTCTGATGCGGGTTGAGCAAGAACAAAAGGTCACTGAAGATGCTCGGATTTTTGCGGAGCAAGATTCAGCTGCTCAGAGATATGCAGTGCATGTCCTTCAGGTTCTTCCTAATTCCTGTTTACATTGCTCAAAGTGAGATTAGGGTGACACTTTACTTCAATGTTGATCCCTTGAAACTAAAATCCACCAACATTTCCTTGCATACGAGGTGAAGTTACCCCTATAAAAAATTGGAGGAAATTACTACTCTGAGTTGGGTACATACCTTTTTTCTTGGGTTGGGGTGGAACGGAAGATCCCAGCAGGGGAAGATCTGGGGTTTCATAAGATTGGGCAGTCAACAGCAAATTTCTAGTGTTTAACAAGATCAACTTCTACTCCTTGTGGGCTCCTAGCCTTAGTATAGATGGTAAAAGGTGGTGGTATTGGGGTCCATGGCACAGACCCTTTGCATCCGAGTTCATTTTGACAAAACTATACCGACCTTTAAAAGGTGCTGGTATTGGAGTCATGGCAGAGACCCGTTGCATCCCTTGTCATTTTCACAAAACTACAATGACTCTCTTCCCAATATTAGTTGAATTTCCCTTTTTATCTTAGTCTATTCCTAAAATTTGTCAAAAGCACCAATGGTAGTAGACAGAAAGAGTCATTTGAATTTGCTGAATGTAGGAGTGTACTCACTCAATTCGTCATGGACAAGACAGTCATAGTACTATTAACATAGAACTACTGTTACATGCACGGTTTTGAATCCACATACCTGGCCATTGGCTATGGAGAGAAACATTCAGGAGACAATAGATGATATATATATTTTCTTTGTACTCCAACGAGGCCACGTCTCTCTCAATAATAGGACGAATTTTGATACCCTATTTTGCATTCTATGATTATGACAACTCTCAAATGTCCTATTTTATGCAGGAGAAATATGACAAGACTATGGTTTCACTTGCTCAAATGGAAAAGAGGGTGGTTATGGCAGAATCAATGTTGGAGGCTACATTGCAATATGAATCTGGCCAAAATAAAGCCCTACCATCCCCACGGTACATGATCCGTTTCTTACTTGTGCTTGCATGTCCAAGACTTTCCTGATAATTAATGTTAATAACAAAATTAAATTTAAGGAAAAAACCCTTGTGCTCTGAAACTCTGTGGAGCTCCAGGCAATAGTTTAATGTCCAACGAACAACTAAGAGTGAGAATTGCATTGCTTGCTTTTCCCAAGGTGTTCTTGGATGTTTGTTTTTGTGTGTGTGTGTGTGCGTGTGTGTGTGTGAGAGAGAGAGAGAGAGAGGGAGAGAGATCATAAAAAAAGATCCATTTACGTGTACAGTGTGTGTATGCACATCAATGCTCTGTTTGCTCTTCACNACCGTAGAGTCTAGGGAGAGTCATCTGACCCCATATGCAAAGAATATTTCAACAATTTAAACGCATGATGAACAATCACTAAGTGACGACGCTAGGACATCAACTAAAATTCAGAGTGATGCAGTTCGTATAAAAACAGATTACATAACAAATCAAGACTGTAGAAAGCATTATTGATCGGACCTCAATCAGTGCTGATTATGGGTGACAATGTCAGAAAGTTTTAGAAGATTTTACTCTAAAAACCTCTCGATTATTTGACCAAGATTGAAGTATATCCTTCAATCTATCATTTTAAAGCTAAAAATGACGTTTATGACACTTTTTAAGTACTTTTCTATTTCTATTCCAGAAAACTAACAATTTAAGCACGATTGAAGTGTATTTTTCAATCCATCATTTTTAAGCTAAAAAACTATGTTTATGAAACTTTTTAAACACTTTTCTATTTCTTTCCATTATTTGAGGTATTTTCATAATATTACTTAATTGCTTAATTTTTCTAGTAATTTAGATCCATTAGATTTTTGTATTTATATGATCTTGTAAACTGGTTCGGCAGCGGAGATACATTATTTTTTCTTCTCAATTGACTTAGTATTCTTCGTAAATCAACAAAGCTCTTGAAAATTTTAATTCAATATTATTGCGATAATCAACAAGTTGAAATTTCTATTGTTGAATCTCGTTTCTTNTCTATTTGTCTAAATCCAACTCTGGGCCAGCCTTTATTATGTTAAAGCAATGCTAGGGGATGGACTTGCAGCCTCGCCTCTTCAAGTAGCAGCCTCCTCACACCTTCTCTTAGGGACACCATGCATATACTCTTGGGTTTTTTGTAAGATAGCCATCTATTTGTACAATGAGACTCGAAATGATTTTTTTTTTCTTTTGTTCAATACAATGCATTGTAAAAAATATATTTGTTAATTGGTTTAAGCTCATTAATTTATTATTATTTTTTTGTACAAGCTCATAAACTTTGTATCAACTGGCGGAAATCTCTCTCCCCCGATGAAACTAGCTGGATAATGGTGGTAGTGGACCCCATATATATTCTTTATTTAAGATAGCAATAGAGCAGTCCAGAAACGTCTCGCTACCGTAGAGTCTAGGGAGAGTCATCTGACCCCATATGCAAAGAATATTTCAACAATATGCAAAGAATATTTCAACAATTTAAACGCATGATGAACAATCACTAAGTGACGACGCGAGGACATCAACTAAAATTCAGAGTGATGCAGTTCGTATAAAAGCAGATTACATAACAAATCAAGACTGTAGAAAGCATTATTGATCGGACCTCAATCAGTGCTGATTATGAGTGACAATGTCAGAAAATTTTAGAAGATTTTACTCTAAAAAACTCTCGATTATTTGAACAAGATTGAAGTATATCCTTCAATCTATCATTTTAAAGCTAAAAATGACGTTTATGACACTTTTTAAGTACTTTTCTNCAAGATTGAAGTATATCCTTCAATCTATCATTTTAAAGCTAAAAATGACGTTTATGACACTTTTTAAGTACTTTTCTATTTCTATTCCAGAAAACTAACAATTTAAGCACGATTGAAGTGTATTTTTCAATCCATCATTTTTAAGCTAAAAAACTATGTTTATGAAACTTTTTAAACACTTTTCTATTTCTTTCCATTATTTGAGGTATTTTCATAATATTACTTAATTGCTTAATTTTTCTAGTAATTTAGATCCATTAGATTTTTGTATTTATATGATCTTGTAAACTGGTTCGGCAGCGGAGATACATTATTTTTTCTTCTCAATTGACTTAGTATTCTTCGTAAATCAACAAAGCTCTTGAAAATTTTAATTCAATATTATTGCGATAATCAACAAGTTGAAATTTCTATTGTTGAATCTCGTTTCTTTATTCACACTACCCTGCATCATCACAGAGCGTCATAGATATGTTAAGGTCCTGTTGGAAGGAAGTTTTCGATGAGCATACACAGGCTATACCTAATGAAGGAGAGCTTAAACTTATTAGACTAGTAACAACAATTACCCATTGAAGCTCTCATTGATTGGAAGCAGTAATCAAAAACCCTCCAACCATAACTTTCTTAACTGATGAATAGTACCACATCAAACCAAAGCACCCTTCTTCTCCAAATTGCCACTGTGATTTCAAAATGTATATGGATTACATATTCAAATCCTCAATATAAACTGTACAGAAAGACCACCAAGAAAATAAGCAGATGCTAATCAAGAGCCAAAATGCAATTACCACAGACCTTGGGGTTACACTTTTGATAAACCCTACCAGTATTTGAGAAGTAGCTACAGCTGGTAGGTCCCAAAGCAGCTTCTACTCAGCATTGGAAGGAATCCCACACACGACTCAAAAACAACATGACCTCAACATGATCTTCGGGTCTGATCTCTCTATGATCTACTACCACCACTGTCTCTTATCACCATCTTTTTTTGCTCTTGGTGGAGTAGAAGGTGCCCAGCGTGAGCTTTGAACTGGCTGCGTTTCAGGGTCATACTTTTGTGATGCAAGATAAGTCAAGGCTGTGACAACATCAGCTATCACTGGGCGCATGTTAGGCTGCTCCTGAACGCACATTGCTGCAACAGCAAGAGCTTGATATAAGCCCCTCACAGGGTACTGACCTTGGAGCATTGGATCAGCCATCTGTGAAAACTTCCTCCGATCTTTGAACAATGGTCTTGCCTGCATAAAGTACATATACGTAGCAAATTTGCAAAAATCATTGCTGGATTAAGATCCAGAAGATTAGGTAGAGAAATACTATTCTGTTATCAATACAACAAAATTAGATGTTGGTTATCTTATGCTTCAACCGGGAAAAAAAAATATCAAAACTATATTCGTATCAGCAAAATTATCAGTGAGACAGGTGGGATCTCTTACCCATGCAACTAGATTGTGCTCTCCTCCAGTTTTCGAATTGTCAATAGCTTTCCTGCCAGTAATGATCTCCAAAAGAACGACACCAAAACTATAAACATCTGATTTCAGAGTCAACTGTCCAGTCATCGCATACTCTGGGGCACAATATCCGTAGGTACCCATAATCCTCGTAGATACGTGGGTATTATCTCCAACTGGCCCAAGTTTGGCCAAGCCAAAATCGGATAGCTTGGGATGATACCCTTCACCAAGCAAAATGTTGGAGCACTTCAAATCACGATATATTACAGGGGGGCTAGCTTTGTCATGTAGATACTCCAAGCCCTTCGCTGCTCCAGCAGCAATTTTCATTCTTGAATTCCAATCAAGTCGTTCCTTTCCAGGTGTGGGATCTGCAAAGCAAGTATCATATGTCCATCATCCACGTGCAAAAACTCAAAAGGCAAAGCAAAAAAACTGGGGATGTGGACTTAAAAAGATGTAGGCACCATGAAGATGGTCCTCCAGAGATCCCAGTGGCATGTACTCATAAACCAGAAGTCTCTGATCTCCATCAGCACAATAGCCAATAAGATTAACAAGGTTAGGGTGGTGAAGCAAACTTAACATCAGCACTTCAACAAGGAATTCCCTGTTCCCTTGCAGTCCATTACGATCAAGCTGCTTGATGGCAACAATCTACGTAAAACAAATGAAAAGGTTTGAATTACAACACCAACTTACTAAGTACCACACATGTCAAAAACTCAGTTCTAGAGTACAAAAAATTGACAAATTTTTTACTCTAGTCGCTTTCTTAAGGTATTTGCCAAGGCAGTTATTCTCAAACTAGCCAACTAATCCTGATATTAAGGAAATGGTTACTATGCCAACACAAGGGCCTTTATGGAAAGTTTGTAACTGGTTTCCTATGCACCTCATTGTTTGAAAAATTTGAAGTACAATAAAGTTGACCAACCTGATTAGAACTTTCCAGTCTTCCTTTGTATACTCTACCAAAACCTCCCTCTCCAAGAAGAGAATCACCACGGAAATTTCTAGTCGCTGCCGCCAATTCACGAAATGTAAAAGTCTTGGCTGCAATTTGATTGGACCCTCCATCTTCAGAGGCCGCCTTTATCTTTAGTGATGGATTTGCCTTTATTTTTTCTTGAACTATTAACATGCAATAAGCCGAGCGGTAATAACAAAATACATAATTTGTGCATATCATGTACAGAGTTTAAGTAAACGGAGCTTAATGTAGTGGGGTTACTGTGGAAAGGTGATTTAGCTTCCATATTGGTGTTTGTTTACAAAGGTACTAACTGAAGTTATATTGTATACGAATCTAAGGAAAAAGGCCGTTTTGTTCATTTCGATGCAAAACAAACATTACAAGCGCCCTTAAGACGATCAGTGATAAATAATTTTCAGTGAAAATTACGAAAAAGTTCCTTTCTGATGGAATATCCAGCAAGCAGAAAAGGAGGTATTGGGTTTAACTTTTTGCAACTGAAGGAAAAATGTATTGCTATCATGAATAGCTCAGTATCAAACAGGATACAGAACATAAGACAATTTCACCACCAGGAATAGGAAGGGTCTAATCCTCATACTTCTCCAATGACACAAAAGAAACTAGAACTACTAATCTCTCAACCACTACTCTTTCCTATGCAAAAACCCCTTTGCCATGCTAAATACACAACACAAGCTGTTACGCAATGAAGAAACACATTTGAAAGTATAACCGATGCAGCTTTAAATTGTTTTTCAATCTTTTCGGAATTGTCTTCTTGGAATCTTATGCGGTATCCGTGCCTTTAGGCCAAAATACTTTAGCAGTTAGTTTTGTTTTGACTTGCAATGTGGGGCGTCAACATCATTCCTAAAGCAGACGCATGCTTGGTACCTGCTATGTGGATTTATGTGATCTGGAAATTATAACTTACCAAATCCTCCATAGAATTACGTGTACATTGACTCCATTCAATAACTGGGGCAATTCTTTCATAACAACTGTTAAGTGTAGAAGATTAACACAATATATTAGAAAGGAAGAGAGCGAGGTCAAAAACTTAACTTAACTTTCATACATCACTTGTATTTATAGTAACTCACAATAATAAAAATTACACATGCACCCTCTTACTATCCTAATATTCTTAACACTCTCCCTCAACCTGAACTATACATATCATATAATCCAAGTTTGGAATAAATCGTTGTAAGACGTGTACGACTCAATACTTGAGTAAACATATTTGCAAGCTGATCTTCAGATTTAACAAATGGAGTTGTAATCTCCCCAGGACCCCAACTACTATTTTGTCCCNAAACATATTTGCAAGCTGATCTTCAGATTTAACAAATGGAGTTGTAATCTCCCCAAGACCCCAACTACTATTTTGTCCCGAATAAAGTGACAATCAACCTCAATATCTTTGGTTCTCTCGTGAAACACCGGATTGGCAGCGATATAGAAAGCTGTCTAGTTGTCACAAAACAATTGTAAAGGAAATTGAACCGTAAATCCAATTTTTCGGAGGAAGTATAGTAGTCAAGTTAACTCACTCGTTGTATGCGTTATTGCCCTATACTCAGCCTCAGCACGGGATCTTGTTACCACGGATTGTTTCTTACTTTTCCATGAGACAACGTTACCTCCTAAGAAAGTACAATAACCAGTGGTTGATCTCCGATCAAAAGAAGAGTCAGCCCAATCAGCATCTGAGAAACCTTCCACTCTAAGATGTCAATTAGCTCGATATAACAGTCCAAGTCCAAGAGCACGTTTGAGATATTGCAGAATACGAGTAACTGCCTCCTAATGTGGTACTCTAGGACACCCCATGAACTGACTTACTATATTGACTGCACAGGAAATATCCGATCAAGTAATAGTGAGATAATTGAGTTTCCCAACCAATCTGCAATACCGACCCAGATTCTCAAGCAGTGCACCATCATCCATCAAAAGTTTCTGATTTAAATCCATGGGAACATCAATAGGTCTACCACCCAGCAAACCTGCTTCCTCTAGCATGTCAGGTATATATTTCCTCTGGGATAAACAAATACCCTATTTAGATCGAGTCACCTCAATACTCAAGAAATACTTGAGTTTTTCTAAATCCTTAGTATGAAATCGATCCTGAAAGAATATTTTTAACTTGGCAATCCCCTCAGAATCATTTTCAGTAATCACAATATCATCTATATAGACCACCAATAGAACATATCCAACATCTTTCTGTCTATGAAACACAGAATGATCTGTCTAACATCGAAGAAGGCCAAACTCTAAAACTGCAGTGGAAAACTTACCAAACCATGCCCTTGGTGACTGCTTCAAACCATACAAAGATTTCTTTAACCAACATACACTCTTACTATACTCCCCCTAAGCAGTAAACTCAGGTGGCTGCTCCATATATACCTTGTCAACCAAGTCACTATGTAGAAAGACATTCTTGACATCTAACTGAAATAAGGGCCAATCAAGACTAGCAGCCAAAGAAATCAAGATACGAACAGAGAAAATTTTGGCAACATGAGAGAAAGTCTCCTCATAATCAACATCATAAGTCTGATTAAAGCCCTTTGCAACAAGTCGGACTTTGAGACTCTCCACAGAACCATCCGGATGAAATTTAACAGTATACACCCAACGACAACTAACAGTTCGTTTACCAGGAGGTAAAGAAATGAGATTCCAAGTTCTATTATAATGTAAGGCATCCATCTCTTCCTCTATAGCTTTCCTCCAACCCGGGTCAGATAATGCATCCTATAAATACTTAAGAATAGATATAGTAGTTAATTATGAAGTAAAACAAGAGAAGACAGGAGAAAAGACATCATATGAAACAAACTGAGCAATGGGATGATTAGTAACACACGAAGGAGTACTCTTTCAAAGAGCAATAGGTAAAGAGTCTAAATTACCTGATGTACCAAGATCAGAAGACGACAAGGAAGATGGTAAGGGCACCTCAGTCGATGGGCAAGAACGGCGAGAGTAGACATGGAGAGGTAAAGTAGATGATAATACAGTGGACAGTAGAATATCTGAAGATGAGGAAAGAGATGGTGGTACAGGAGATGACCCAAAGTCCAGATCTAAAAGCCGAGAAGGTGCTAAAAAATATGGAACAGATTCCTCAAACATGACATCAGCACTAGTAAAGTATAGTCGCAGAGAAGGACTGTAGCAACGATACCCCTTCTGTGTGCAGGAATAATCAAAAAATACACATTTGGTAGCTCGAGTGTCAAGTTTGTCAAATCCGGGACCCAAATTGTGAATATAACAGACACATCCAAAAATTTTAAGAGTCAGGGAAAATAAGGGCTTACCAAGAAAAAAGACAGAATATGGACTTTGCCCATTTAACATAGAGGATGACATACGATTAATAAGGTGACAAACAATAAGAGCAGCATCACTCAAAAAATATCGGAGAATATTCATCTGGAATAACAGGGCATGGGTGACTTCCAACAGGTGACGGTTCTTGCGTTCAGCAACACCATTTTGTGGAGATATGTAAGCACAGAAAGTTTGATGAATAATGTCAGTTTTACTAAGATTAGCTGAAAAAGTATCGGATTCATATTCCTGAACATTATCAGAACGTAAAATACGTATACGACAATCATGCTGAGTTTTATTTCCTTACGAAAGGTCTCAAATATAAAGAATAATTCAAATCGAGCCTTTATAAAAAACAACCAAGTTATACAAGAATAGTCATCCACAAATGACACAAGATAAAGATATTTATTAGATGAAATATTCTTTATTGGAGCCTATACATCATAATGTATCACAACTCAAATGAACTAGACACACAATTGTTGACTCTAGACTGAAATGACATACCGTGATGCTTACTAAGCTGACAAGCTTCACAAGACAAAGACGACACACCACTAAGACTGCAAACTTGGCGCTTCAGATTCTGGAGAAAGGGATGTTCAAGACAACAATGTCATTGAAAAGGAGACGGCGAGGTCTGTAGGGCCTGAGTAGGTGAATCAAAATCAAAGTAATATAGGCCACCAGCTTCATGCCCCGTACCAATCTTCTTCTTTGTCTTGAGATCCTAAAAGACACAATAAGAGGGATAAAATGTCACAGAACAATTGAGAGAACAGGTAATCTTACTAATGAAAAATAAGCTAAAAGGAAACTGAGGAATAAATAACACGGAAGATAGGGACATATTAAGACTCAAACAAGTAGTCCCGAGACCTGAAACTTTAGAATAAGTACTATTGGCAAGAGTAACACTACGTGTGGAAGTAGCAAACTGATAAGTAGAAAAAATATTAAACGCATCAGTCATGTGGTCAAAAGCACCAAAGTTTATGATCTAGGAACTACGAGTGGAGGACAATAAACAGGTGGAAGCAATACATGACTAGGCAAAAATAGTAGTGGAGGGAGATGGAACAGCCTGTTGCTGGGACAAGAGCTGAGCATACTCCTCTCGTGTAATAATAACCGACCCAGTGTCTGGTGGAGCCGACCAAGGTATGGAAGAAGCAACAAAGGTATCATCCTGATAGGAAGCCTGATTCGCAACACTAGAAGGTTTTCCATGTAAATCCCAACAAAAATCAACAGTGTGCCCTCCATAGCAACAGTGAGTACAGGAACGAGGTTCACTACAACCCCCACGACCACCCGTACGACCTACTGTACGACCTCCTCGACCACTACAATCACCACGACCACCTTGATAACCAATACTGTGGCTATTAGGAACCACAAGAGCTGAGCGATCAGTGGGGATACCATGATTGATGCCTAAAATAGACAAAGTAACACGTTGTACCTGAGAGAAAACCTCAAGTAGTGAGGGAAGACTAGAACCACCCAAAATCTGAGAACAAATAGCCTTATATTCTGGTTTCAATCATACCAAAAACCTAACAACATTCATGTTCTCATGTTGCTTCTGCCAAACTGTTACATCAATAGTAAATGAATGGTATGTTTTCATCTCCTCACAAACTCCCCAAACGTGAGAGTAATAATCCTCAATGCTCAAAGTACTCTGTTCCAGCCGGAAGTACTCCTTGCACACCTCATAAGCTCGGGTAAAATTACCTGTACTAGAATACATAGTGGCTAAGTGATCCTTTATCTCCTTGGCAGTGTCAAGATAGAGCAAAATAGAACTAATATTAGGCTTAATGCTATTCAATAGTAAAGAAATGATTTGAGCGTCTTCTTGTTCCCACTGATCATATTCAGGAGTACCTTCCTAGGATTTAGGATTCATCAAATATTTCTTAAACTCTTTGCCATAAAAAAAAGACGTGAACGGATCGGGACCATAAAGTATAATTGGTCCCAGAGTTTAACAGAAGCCCCGAGACCATTGATAATAGT